GAGTGAGCAAAACAAAACAAATGAGACCTACGGAAGCCATCTCTAGTCCCATCCATTTCAAAACGAAGGGCACATTGTTACAGCCACAGGAAGATCTCCCCAAAGGGCACCCAAGACTTTTTTATGCTGCATATTTGTATGGAATAGTAAGCCGGGTCACAATAACTCAAGATAAGTAAGGCAACGGACACGTCCTGTGGCAACTCCTTCCTCCTTCCCCTGTGAGCCAACATCTCCTACAAGTAACTCTTTGTAAGGTTATGTCAGTATTAGGATGCCCCAGGCAGTGTTTCAGGAGCCCCTCCTGAAAAGGAATGGAATTTGGGCTGAGGTCACAACCCTGAGAACCACACCCCAGCAACGTATCCACCAGCCATGCACTGCTGTCTTCTAAGCAACGGCAGGCCCAGGGCATCCAACGAATGAAGGCGGCTTTGTCAGCATCCAGGAGTCTGTCACACACCGAACTGCTCTAAATCCCTTGTACCATTTTAACAGGGCACACGAACGCTCGCCAAAGAGCTGAACTGGCACATCCGCCCAATGTGTTTTCCTTTGAACCAAGTTACAACAAACTGCATGCTTATATACCTACAGGTGGCAGCCTCTCCCACAAAAGCCAGGCCAGCTTTTCCGTTTCTTTGGGAATCCCCAAAAGCCACACCCTTCAGCAAGTAACCTAAAACTTCCTCCTCTACACACACACACGTGTTACCAAAGAGATGCAAATCACTTACCTTCAACAGAGAGGTGCACACGTACGGCTGCTTTTTGTTGATGGGCGCTGTACAGAACACGTACCTTGCCCTCAAGTTAAGGGGAATGTGCTGAATCATGTCGGCCAGGAATTTGAAGTCATCGACGTTGCAGACAAAGTAGAGACCATCCACTTGCGAGAGACTCACAAAAATATCCTGTCAAAATATCACAGTTCAAGCAGCCAGAAAACGGATCTTTATCAACATTTTAAAACCTCATTAGAGCAAGTACTTTCTAAATGCAGTTGCATGGGAGGGGGGGGTTATAGCACTGGGCACCACGATCTCTGCGTGTGTGGCATGTAACTAGCTAGACAAAATGTTGGATTTCTGTACAAGAGAAGAAGAAGAGATTGGGTTTATACCCCGCCCTTCACTCCGGAGCCTCAGAGCGGCTTACAGTCTCCTTCCCTTCCTCTCCCCACAACAAAAACCCTGTGAAGTAGGTGGGGCTGAGAGAGCTCGGAGAGAACTGCCCCAAAATCTTGTAACTGCCCCAAGGTCACACCAGCAGCTACATGTGGAGGAGTGGGGAATCAAACCCGGTTCTCCCAGAGTCCGCGCTCCTAACCACTACACCAAAGGTGAATGCTGCTAGGGGTGTAACGCGTGCAATGGAGAGCCAGGGGTGCCGTAGTGGTTCTGGGAGATTCAGGTTCAAATCTCCACTTGTGCCATGGCAGCACACACTCTCAGCCTAACTCACCTCACAGGGTTGTTGTGAGGATACAGCGGAAGAGGATGTGAGCTGCTCTGGGTCCCCGGGGGAGGGAGAAAAGGGGGGGCATAAAGAAATACATTCACATGTCGAAGCCATGGGAACATACTATACATTTGCTTTGTACAATCTATTCTGCTTCTACTTGTTAACTATTAACCCCACTCAGATCCTTCCTCAAGATTTTATCAAGCCCTGCCCACATACTTTTAATGCTTATCCTTGCAGGCCTTAAGGGCTAGCAATCTGCTTCTTCAAAACAAAGAGCTGAGATTCTCCGGACACAGAACGCTGGGCTTGTTGCAGCGCCACTACAAAATAAACACGGAAAGGATCCAAAACGGGCTCTTGGGACAATGGTGTTTGGGAGGCAGGCCGCCTCAGTGTGGCCTCAGAGGCCCTGGGACTGGTTCGGCCAGAAGGACGAAAAGCCACCCTTTCCCGAGTAATAGTAAAAGGCAGCAAAGTCACAACATTCCTGTTTCAAGCGGCTCTTCCTTCTCCCTCCGAATTCCCAGGCTGCATGCAGGAAGCCTCAGAAGCAATCACACCCACAACTGTTCCTTACACTGAGTGCCTTTGATCAACAAATGAACATGTGGACTGTTGCATTCTAGCTATGTGTTTGTGTGTGTTGGTTTTCCCCACCCAACTCTGATGCTTCTTGGTTCATTTCCAACTTGAGATGAAAGAAAGTTTTTCTTTTAAAGCAGCAAAGGGAAAATGAGTGCTCAAATGCCAGTCATAAGGCTTCAGTAGAGTATTATGGCTTCAATCCAGCCATCCTCACTTTGACAGAGAAGCCACCAAAGTTCCAACTGCAGTTTGTGGCACAGCATAGCGGGGGTGGGTGGGGGTGTCTGTTTTTCGAGGGGGGAAATCCAATTGTGAGGACACCAAAGAGCTTGCCGGATTCCCTCTCACCTATGATCTCTTGCTTTGTAGTAGTTCATGGTCTAATCGAGTAAATCTGTTTCTTGGCTTCTCCTTTTTTTAAAGCAAAAACTAACCTTAATCCATGACACAAGGAAGTCAATTACACATTGATCTCCTCAGATCTCATAAGCTAAGCAGGATCACCCCTGGTTGGGATTTGGATGGGAGAACACCAAAGAAGTCTAGGGCTGCTATGCAGCGGCAGGCAAGGGCAAATCACCTCTGAGCATCTCTTGCCTTGAAAACCCTCTGGGGTTGCCATAGGTCAGCTGTGACTTTACGGCCAAAAAGAAAATCTGTAATTTGATTTTCTGTCTAATAACTGTGGATAGTATATGCCAAATATTGGAATGGACTTAAAAAACACTACTGGACAGTGATTTTATAAGATGTGACACTTAAAAACGCCAAGCAGATCTCTCATTTAATATCCAGTGTGAAATACAAATGTATCACAGACACGTACATCTCCAACGTTAATCTGGATCTTGAACTATTTTCAACCAACATGAATACTGAACAACTAAACTCGGTGTGATTACATGTGGGCATATGTCTCTTTTAAAAAATATTTGGATCAACAGATATTTAAAAATCGAAGGACCTTCCTGTGGAGTAGGCACTATTCTTGCTATAGCTCCTAATGACAGGTGCCCGTTAAGTTTTAAAAGCTGCTTGCCTCATCAGCGACAGAAGCAATGTTTTATGTATTTCCATCGCACAAAAGCCCTGGAAGGGTAAAGCACGTTCATGCAAAACTGTTCTTTATGGTCCCAACATTTAAAGCGCTGCTCAAAGCAGCCAAGAGGCCTTCTGGTCTTACAATGAGATTGGAGAGCGTGGCACCAGGAAGATGATACGCAAACATTTCAATCTGTTCGGCAGTCGGATGCAAGCCAGCAGTCTGGGGAAGGGGGAAAAATGAAACAAAGGCATCGAAAAAAAAATTCTGATCGAAAGAGTTCACTGCATTTGACCATCAATGAGCTGCAAGACACAACATGGGGTCCCATTAAGCTCATGCCACCATGCGCAACTGTACGCTGCCCTGCCCACCCCACAGCACAGTCCTGAGCAGAGGAAGCCTCACAGCTACATCAGGGCTAGAGTTCAAACGGCGTATCTGGGCTTAATTCTATCCTGCACCTTCCATCAGTTCTGGACAGCTCAGAAAACAATTTAACATGTATAAGTTAAAATAAAAGCCAACAGAAACAACTAACCTTCCCATTACGACTCAAGCCAAGCCAGACCAAGAAAGCCTTCTGGAACAAAAGCTTTATGCTCGTCTGAAAAGAGGCCACAGAGACAGAGCTCTAGACCTCTTCTGGCCGACAGTTCCGAGGGGGGGGGGAGATTAACAACTAATAAGAGCTATGAGCAGGATCCTGTAACCCATCAGTTGAAGGCCCTAATAGATGCATATCTTTGCTTTGGACCCCTGCCCACCAGCAGACCTTTCTGACCCTTGGAGAGATGATTCCCAGAATCATGGGAACCATGCCAGGGAGGCTAGGGAGGGTGCTGCGGTGCAGAAGGGGAAGGGGGTGAAATCACCCCTGTCCCTCCCTCTCCCAACAGCACAATTCATGAAAAGGATAGAAACTTAAGAAGAGCCCTGCTGCATCAGACCAGTGGTCCATCTAGACCAGCACCCTGTCTCACACAGTGACCAACCAGTTCCTCTGGAGGGCATAGAGGTTGAAACCTTCCCTTGATGTTACCTCCTAGCTCTGGGGTTCAAAGTTTGACTGCCTCTGAATGTGGAGGTTTTCTTCAGTCACTGTGGCTAGTGGCCACTGACAGGCCTATCCTCCATTAATCTGGCTAATCCCCTTTTAAAGCAGTTTATTCCTGCGGCCACTGCTACATCCTCTGGCAGCAAATTCCACATTTTAATCGTTTTTGCCACTCTGCAAACACAGAGTACTGATCAGACAACTGCAAAAAGCTTCAAGGAGATCAGACTGTTCAGAAGAGATCTTACCACGATGGGTTCCACTGATTTATTCAAGATTTCCTTTAACAATACAAGGTCATCGCGATGCATGGTAGTGACTTCCCCCTCTTTGAACACCGTGCTAAACCTTCCAGCTCTTCCTGAGATCTGTAATGCTTGGGAAGTTGTGATTGTATCCATTTCCTTTTCACCCTTCTCATTGACCACTGGCTTAATCAGAGAGTTGAAAATGATTCTCTTTATGCTCCTAGAAGCAAAGCACCAATACAACAGATTGGCAGTAAAAATCACAGGGAAACGCTACTGCATTTGTTTTACCATAGTCTAAGTTCCACAAACATTCTTCTAGAGGAAATTCTTCTTTGACTGGAAATACGAACGGAAGTCAAAGAAACTACCAGATGGAAGATAATGGCAGTAAAAGACTTTGTGGGAGTCTCAAAAGTACTACTGCAATGAAGGAAATTTCCTTCTCTTTCATGTAGTCCTATCTGCTTTATACCAATGGAGCACTGCCAATCACCCAGTATTTATTCTAAGCTCTGTACGAAATCTGGTTACACTTCCTGAGCTCCAAGGTCCAACCTCCAGCTGTCACCCAACTGCCATCAGGAGCAAGTAGGGAAGAAAGAGGATGGAACAGGCATGGTGGTGCAACCCGGCCACATCAGATTTCAGGTGGAGATGTTCACTCCCCAAATGGCATGAGAAGCTCTCAGACTTATTTATTTATTTATTTTATTTCATTTATACCCCGCCCTCCCCGCACGCGGGCTCAGGGCGGCTTACATAGGCACAACAGTGCAATAAAATACAATTAAAACAATTAAGGCACAAAAGTGCAATAAAAACAAA